AGCGGGTGTGAGCACGTTTGTGAACAATTCTGTGTGCAACGGGATCGACGCAGCGGGATCCGTGTAACGGCTGCTGCGAAGTGGCAATTGTGCTACTCCGTGTGCTGTGCGAAATGGTCCCTTACAGGTCTGCTTCTGCTCCGCGAGGTCGGTCAGCGACGTGAAGGCAATCTTCAGCTCCCTAAAGGGGGATTAGCGGTGGATTAGCAGTGGATTAGAGGTGGATTAGAGGTGGATTAGAGGTGGATTAGCGGTGGATTAGCGGTGGATTAGCGGTGGATTAGCGGTGGATTAGCGGTGGATTAGCGGTGGATTAGCGGTGGAATGGCTGCCGCGGATTGGCTGCCGCGGATTGGCTGCAGTGGAGTCGCTGGCGCAACGCTGGGAAGGTACCCCCTCACAGATAGATGCTCTCCCCCCCTTACGTGTGCTGCAAATCGCAGATCTGCTTCAAAAGGTTGAGCTCATTCTGCAGGTATTTGTTCTTCTTGAGGAAGTCTATCTTGACCTTGCTGTCCTTGTGTGGGGGGTCCACCTCGCCTTCCTCTTCGCTCGTCTCCTTGTTAATGTTTTGTTTAATTTCTTGTTCCTTCATTTTTAACTCGTCCAGTTTTTCCTTAGCCTCCTGTATAAGTTTCTGTTTATCATCAAGGGTATCATTTTTGACGTCTTTTTCCATGGTGGCAGTGCTGACCTTCTCTGTATCCTGTATATCCATAATCGCATGTGTAACGACAACACATCGGATGTAGAGGAGTAAAATGTAGGGCACTTCCTTAATGCTGGCTAGCTCCAACCACTGCTGAATTTGCAGTTTCATTTCCTCCTCGGAGGTGTTAAAATTCATGCCTCTATCTTTGCATATCTCTATCAAGGTGTGTTTTTTCAAATTATCCACCCCTTCGTAGATGAGTTCTCTGTCTTCCCTCTGTAGGCGCAAGAAGTGATGCCTCAGTTGCAGCACCACGTGGTAATGCATTCCGTAGGGCTTCAGTCCAAGCAGGTGACAAATGGTTTGTAGCGTTTTTAAATTCATTTGGTCCAGTACAAAATCGTCCTTAAAAATTTTGGCTATTTTTAAAGTGTCCCCTACACTTAAAAAGGGGTTAACATCTTTTTCATCTTTATTAATCAACTGCTGATGAAATTTAAATAAAATTTTTTTTTTTTTTTCTGAGTCAATTCCAATATTTTCATTTAGCTGTTTTTCTTTTTCCTCAATTAGTTGCTGCAGAAATTTGGCTAGCTGCTGTTTTGCATACAAATTTTTCTTAATATTCACAAAATTATCATCATTATTTTTAAAAGTGGAGGGTAATAAATTGGGATAAATCTTCAGAAATAATGGAAGTAAAAACTCCGCAAATGGGACAATGATGAAAAATGAAAAAGGAATTAATTTGAACATGTCATTCATTGTCCGAATTAGCAACTTATATTCTGAGTACGACAGTCTGTGTCCCTTTAACCTTTTTATGATTAAATTTTTCGAAATCTTCATATTGGTGAGGAATAGGAGGACTCCTGTTTTGACCCACACGACGGTGTGCTTTATATTTTTCTTTAAATCGGCCCAATACACCTTCAGTATCGATGGCTGTATGATTATTATTTTTGTCTGCTGTCCTGCCTTTTTTATGAAGGTACAAATTAGCTTCATTCCGTTTGTTCCCTTCTTACACATTTTTGCGATTTTTCCCCTCTCCCTTTCGTTATTTTTTATTTTTTTTTTTTTCATCATTTCGATCACGTCTGTGTAGTCTTCTCCCCCTTGCAAAGTGGTGTTAGCATCACCGACAGGGGAGTGATCCCTTTTGAGGGAACTCTCTTCTGTCTTCTCCTGTTGATTGCCCTGTTGCGCTTTACAGGATTCAGGGGAATTGCCCCCTTTGGTTGCTTCTCCCTCAAGGGAGCTGCTCCCTTCCTTATCATCCCTCGGTACATTCGTTGAAAACTTCTTCCTTGCACTATTCGCGTAGATGGGGTTCCTCCCTTTCGTTTGGCAGAGTTGTGTTACCACTAGGGACACTCCGTTTCGGAGCGCACGGCAGTGGTGACCAAACGCAACACCGATGCAGACGTTGACATCCGCGCCGATACTAATGCTGCTTATTACTCTTGGGATGGGGGTGTTATTCCCTTCTTCTTCCTTCCAGACTGGCAGACTCCCCTTACGGGGGATGATGACCTGGTTGCCGCCCACACTAAGCGACTTCTCAACCGAGGGGTAACTCACGAAGGACCTCTTCAAACCGACTCGCACATTCGTCGAGATGAGCCTGTACACGACCCTGCTCGGTCGAAGCTTCATCGTGCCTCGCCTGAGGGGTGCTCACTCGAGAATGTCGGTTCGGTTGTCCTGTTGTCGGGTTGTTTGCTTTTTACTTCCTTGCTCGCTTACTCCCTTTTTGACCCCTTCACCTTAGCGTAGTTTTTTCTTCAGTCCGATTTATGGGGCGCGAGAAAGCAGAGAGGTGGCGGCAGTGCAGGGGGGGGCTTAATCGGGTGAAAAGTGCGTGCAGGTCGACGCGACATTGCTGCGGGGGAGCGCGCGTAGAAGCGTTACAGCTCTTAAGGGGGTCACTTAGAGGTGTGTAGTGGAGCACATTTGGGCGCGTTCAACGGTGTTCCGTTGAGCGTTTGTTTTATTTTATCTTATTCTATTATATTATATTGTATTCCACTTTATTGTATTTTTTTTTTTGAAGACGCGGGGCAAATCAGCTCATCTGAGCGTATTTTTCTCTACCACTTCGAAACTGGCAACTTCTTCCACGTGGCAGCCTCCTTTTCTGTTTGCTAGGGCCCTTACGCACGACCCATTTTGGTCGTTTGGCAGTTGTGCTCCTCTCCGCTGCGTCTATGTGCGTCGGCGTCGTGGGGCCCAATGTCTTCAATCACATAGTTGCCACGGAGGCGAACTGGTAAAGGTGCTCGATCGCTATGCCTCTCTATCGCTATCGCTCCGTCTCGTTATTTTTTCCCTTCCAAGTTACTGTCCTATATATGCGAAATGGGGGAGGGGGGAAAGGTCAGCCACAAATTGGGAGGGCTTCCACATCCAGAGAAGAAGTGTTCCCCCTGGACTACACCTATGCCTCTTCTTCCGTAGGGGCACAGTCAAGAGGAAATACAAAAAAACCGCGTCAAAGAGAACTCGCTTTTAGGCTAATGCGTTTTCTGTAAACACGCAGGTCAGGAATGAAAGAAAAAAAAAAAGGAAACACAGGAGAAGATATGTATTTAAATAACTGTACTTACTGTATGTAAACAAATCTCTGCTGTGCTGGTGCTTGTATGATCTTTCTTCGTTTCCGAAACCCCACTGCAGAAGGGCTCTCACGCATATGTAGGATCCATCAAATGAAAAATAACTTAAAGAGGAAAATTCAAAAAAAAAGGATATATCAACAAAACGACATTTAACCATACGGTTACTTTGTCGCGGGAATGAAATTAACGCACATGGATTTTGGGGGTTCCACTGAAAAAAAAAGGAAAAAAAGAAAAAAAAAAAATCCCCCTACCTGTGAAGATGGCACAGAAGTGCATGGGGAGAAAGAGCGAACAGCTTTTCTTCGCCACGTGCCCACGTCATTTTGCATAATTGGAAGAACAGCAAGGATGGGGGGGGGAGTAAAAGGTGAAGAAGCATACGTACATGTATGTATATATTTATGCGCGTATATTTGCTTACTCATGTTTGTATTTTCTCATTTGTGGAGAAGAGGAAAAAAGGAAACCTACACGAGGGAGCAACTCATCACTGTGTCGTCACTTCGACTGAGCACCCTACAATTGCGACAGCCGAAGGCTTCACGCTCTCCTCATTTTGGCCCCTTTCGCATTGTGTAGTGCCTGCATTGTTGCATGGCAGTTCGCCTTAGTTTGTCGCGCCCGCCATTTGGGTCTCTTTGTCATCCTGGCCATTGGCTTCCTTTTTTTGTTCCATGAGTTTGTTTCATGAGTTTGTTTCATGATTCTGTTCCATGAGTTTGTTCCATGAATTTGTTTCATGACTCTGTTCCATGAGTCTGTTCCATGAGTCTGTTCCATGAGTCTGTTCCATGAGTCTGTTCCATGAGTTTGTTCCATGAGTCTGTTCCACGAGTTTGTTCTAGCTGTTTGTTCCTTTTTTTGCCTCCATTCTTACCTTTTTTTTTTTTTTGCCGGTGTGTCAACTCTGGAAACTCCCCACATGCAGCCAAAATAAGCAGCTGCATGCGCACCTGTTGCGGACTATCCTGGTGGAGATGCGGCTACGGAGGAAGGGCACATGCACAGGATCAATTCATATGTCTCATTTGACCCTGCGCCGGCAACGCTGAGAAACGCTTATGCGTCCATCGGGACGGTCGCGCCATCGGACAACTGTACGTTGGTACCATTTACCGGGTAAATAAAGAGAATAACAGGATGTCTGTTACCACCACCAGCAGCGGCACCACCACCGAGAAGGCTTCTTTGCACACCAAGGCATCGTACAGATGAGTTATGTGCTGTTTAACGAATAGTTTGTAAAAGGACAACCCTTCCTAGTCGTCCCAGTGCTCCGACTGTCCTAGTCACTCTGCCCGCGTGAACCGTCCCATTTCATCCCATTGCGCTGTCAAAGGGGGGAAGCACCACGCGTAGGGGGAGT